CGCCAAGTCGTACCGCGGACGTCAATCTTAGGGGGGAGGTGTTGGGGCAGGCTGAATGCACTATACCTTCCTCATAGAATGGACTACAGTATATTTGTGTTTACTGTAAGAGTGATAGTACATCATGATCATATAAACAGATTGCCTATGTAAACTCTTATGAGTATGGTCGCATTCACTTTTGTCTCGTCTCATGCTTTCGAATATACTTCCACTCAACACGAAGAGGACAAAACATGTTGCGATAGAGGTAACATGATGGTTCAGGGCATCTGAAAACCGCTTCAGTCAATAAGAAAAATAGCACAATCAGTATGCTACGAATTACCCGTCAGAATTTCCACAAACCCTCACGTATGAAGCACTTGAAATCCAGTTTAAAAACACAGCACTTCTGATGCTACAGTCCTCAACTGCATTGCTCAACATTTTTTACCAAACATATAACTGCAGGCATATAATAACGGCCCTATTCAAGCAAATCCTGAGACATACAAGAAACAAGGCCAGAGGGAGCTCGCGAATTCCCCGGAAATACTGCATTTTGGATTATTGCTTTCAGCTAACTTGTTCCAATTTCGCCACGAAGGGTATCGAGACAATCATGCTTTCTTCATGCTCCTCTCTATTATAGTGTCGTACATGTCATTTGAACACTGAAATCGAGGTTCTCATTGAAGTAGAGGGTTCATGATGCTGTTATGTTCGTAGGTAACACCCGAAGTCTAGGAGACTCGATCTTGGATTTTCCTATAAAGAGGGACGGAAAACTGAAGGAATCAGAGAACTATTATTCCACTGGGTCTATCACGAGAAGAGGTTTTCGTTGTTCTAAACAAATTTATTGAAACTGAAGAAATCAGATAATTATAATTTTGCTGGATTTATCACGAAGAGAGGTTCCATTGATTTTGCTTCCAACTTGATTAGAGCAATCTAGCAAAAGCTATGGCAAAGCAACGATTGGCGTCGGATTAAAGGTGCTCTTCTCAGTAATTTTGGACTATCCAGTTTATGAGGAAAATAAAAGAGAAGGTGGAAAATAGTGCGAGGCAGAGAAAGTGCGCGAATCGCTTTTCCAAAGTGATAAAAGGCTTCAACAAATCGTTCAAAAGGAGGAGATGAGATTGGGACTGAGGAATGTAGTAGGAGGGACGATTGGATGAGCTATAGAACATTATTATTGCGTACTTGTGGGTCTGGGTGCGAATGGCTATACAACAGTGGCAGAAATGTCCTTCAAAATTCACTCACTAATAGTTAAAAACACTATCAACACTAAAAATATCCTACCTTTTTCGTCTTTTCGNTATTATTGCGTACTTGTGGGTCTGGGTGCGAATGGCTATACAACAGTGGCAGAAATGTCCTTCAAAATTCACTCACTAATAGTTAAAAACACTATCAACACTAAAAATATCCTACCTTTTTCGTCTTTTCGAGATAGAAGACTAGCTAAAGGATCGCAGCAGCAAAAAGAATAACAGAGAAAAATGAACAGGAGGAAAACATCGCCTCATTACTAGGCGATCAGCTGATTGAGTCGATGGGTGTTCCATCCGGCCGATCCTGAAATGGGCTCTTATGCCCTGGCTCTTGGATTTTCGGGCACGACAGCCTTCTTTCTGTTACCCTTGCAGGCTACCAGGTCAGGTCTCGAGTGAAAATCTAAGAAACCATTTTTATCGTGAACTGTAATTCGTGCCTCATACGTGAATTACCGTGGGTTATAGTAGCAACAACGTAGTTGCAATTCCTCCGAAGCACTCCAACACCTGGACATTCGAGCTATATCTACTCCCCTCTACGCTAGCTGATTCAGAAATGAATCTTCGAACTGCACCACCGGAGCAGATTAGTGTAATAGTCATGCAAGAAATCTTGCATGTGCACCCATCAATAAACTTGTGCTAGAATGAAGGCATGCACCGATTCAATGGGAGTCCACCCAATAATTGGTAAACCTACACTATCACACCATCAATGAAAAAACAATGACATCGCAGAAGTATGGCAATTTTTTATGTAGTGGTGGACATGAAGCGGTCGGGATCAGCGAGGTGGGTTTTCTTAGAACTGGTGATGCAACATGGTCTATGCTCTTAGCTGGCCTAATGGCTGGCAGTCTTCGTTGTGTTATTCCAGTGTAAATTACTCTTAGCAGAAAATTCTCACCCTGTGAGGATACTTGTTGCTGTAGTTTTGTCAACGGACTTTTTAACTCATTTTTTCATTGTTTTTCGTGAAAGTATTGGTCTACTGAGGAGGTTGCGGTTAAATGGCGCAAACACTGGCATAATGATTTATCTTTTTAAGTACTCCGTACATCGAAAACATTGTTCTGCTCACCCAACGTCTTCATTCTAAGCGATGACGCGATGCTCAATTCGACATTCGACAGTTACCTTGGAATGCATGCGTTCACACCTACATGCCAACCGGTATCATTCGAGTCCACTACTATGTATACACATGCAGTATTGACTCAATTCCAATACCCAACAGCAGCCGAACAACTCATATGCATGATAATGGAGTGCAAAATGGAATACGCTCCAAGACGGATTTAATCGTCCCGTGAATGTGTGACACAATAACCCGAGTTCTCACTGGTGCGCGTTGTTTGCATCAGAGCGCAGGCGGTTAATCCCTCCAAGCTTACTCTTTCGAATCTCCCCTCGCTAGGAGAAACAAGTCAGATTTCGTTTTGTCATCAGAAAGTGGGAACGCCGTGTCCGCTCATGTTATTCATTTTGAATATTACTTATTATCCCCTGTTCAGGATCAACTTTGAGAGTCTTAATTCTCATTTCGTTTTGTCTTCAGGAACAGTGATCGCCGTGTTCGTTCATGTAGTTCTTTTTCAATACTAATTATATAATTAACTATAATTATTAAGGGACCTATCTTTTAGAGAGTTCAATACCCTGCAGGGCCGTCATGCTCATGATTGATGACGTCGGGAACAAAACGATTGTGAAACTTCACTGAAAAGTGCCTTGTTTCACTAATACATTTAGTTTTAAAACAGCAACTTTGACAATAATCTCGAGGAGAAATCATGTTTAATATTTTGCGGAGTTTTGTTTCGTATACATAGATGATTTGATTAAATTTACAACTGTGAGTCGGATGCTCGTCACTAATGTTGATAGCTGCTAAACAGACAAACAGAACAGATATTCACGACAATGACTATCCGAAACAATAATCTAGTAGGTCAAATCCTTCAGAATACTTTTTCTGATCTCTTCCTTCCCTACCCCATTAACGAATAATTAATGTATAAAAGATTTTGTAACCTCTTAAGCAAATTCCAGACGCCGAAGACGAAGCTTAAAGGGGTTAATCGCCTGCGCTCCCATGCAAACGATGCGCCCCAGCGAGAACTCGGGTTACTGTGTCACACATTCACGGGACGATTAAATCCGTCTTGTGAGTACGCTTTCCAACATGGCTGGGTTCTGAGTATGTCACCACAATCGCACCATCGTCGCGGTACCGTGATGAACAAACCTTAGCTACTTGGTTACGTACTATTTCATGCATGTTTTCTGACTTACCAAATCGTTTGAAGCGACAGCTGTCTCCAAGAATTTTTTGAAAGGATCGTCGTATTGGTCCTACTACTTGTACATTCACGTTGTTGAACAAAAAGGAACTCTATATTCTGATGAGAGTGATCGTTTGCCTGTCGTTCGGAAGCTTTTTGCGACCTTGGGTTATCTTAAGCACGACCCATTTATCACTGGATGCGAGAGAGATGGATTACCCATAGCCGTGGAAATTTCCGTGAAGATTTCGACTATTCGATCACAGGCTGCTTTCATAGTCTGCCGGCCGCGGGCGGCGCTTGCCCCTTGTTTACAAATGAATCTTGGTCGATACCGTTGGCCGATTAAAACCCCAGCCGGCGCGCTCGCGGGCCGGCCGGGGGACTATGAAAGCAGCCACAATGGCACCAAGACGAAGTTTACTGAAATATGCGAGAGAGATGTGTAAAACCCATTCTGCTGAAGAGAGGGGAGTGTGACGCGTGGCGAACATCTCGCCATGTCTCTAAGAGCACTTCGCAGTTTGCGACCACGAAAACCTGAGTTGGGTCATCAACTCCTGAAGATTGGATGACGTTTCTTGACTCTACTCTTTCACCTTAGTTCCTCATTTTTCTGACTACTCTGCGATACGTTCCTGGTTCCTGGTAGCGAGTCCCACTACTTCTTCTTTCCAAGCTGCTGGAGAGAGAGAACAATCGTGCCAACAGCCGTGCCCGTTCTTTCAAGTGAATCGCGAGATCTGCAAGGTATGTCGTGACGACAATGGCGTCGTTCATGTAGCTCGATGATTCAATTGAGAATCAGCTACAGTGTAGGAGAGCGGTCGGGGATATTCTGACTTTGAGTCGCTTTGGAAAGAACCTTCAAGACTTTGGAAAAGAAGGCCCATGGTGAAGTTCCAGAGACATGCGCGACGGGCTACCGAAAATATTAAGTATCACACTTCTTCTTGACATCTTTTTCAGACTAAGTTCTGCAAAAAGGAGGAGCTATCTAAAGCTAACAAAAAGAGGTAACACTTCAAACGGATTACCGTTATGACTGTGAAATCGTAAGGATACGGCACTCATGAGTTGGCAAACATACAGTACTCGCCGCAACTACAGCAACTGAAAGAGACAGTAATGTTAGTTCCGCCGCAATAAGGTAATAGCAACAAAGGCTAGCCTAACAAATGATGAAAGCCACTTTGCCTTGAAAGGGCTGTGGTACATCCTTCTAAGCTTGAAAATCATAAGAGGTTGTGGCGAAGAGGTAGGTGACTCGCGTGACCCCTATCAAACCAGTTTTGAGTTTCAGAAGAGAGATGAGTCGCTTGATAACTAGTCAACTTCCTGCCTTCCTAGCGCTTGGACGCTGGGTCGTCCCAGCTCGGAGTATACCAGTCGGCTCGCTCAGCTTATTCCGCGCTACACTCCTTCCCCTCACAGAGTCGGAACGTATTGTTGACCCTTCAAGGAGAGGTTGACTATCTATTTGTTTTTGCAGAAATACTGCCCGCTCCACTTGAAGATATCACACTCAAGGCACTCTTTGATCAGGGTCATAAAGGAAAGCTTGCTCAATCCCAACGTCACACTTCTGTTTCATGCTCGTCCAGCATTTTAGAGACCGCCTGGAGAGCTTCGTTTTTGTTAGCGTTCGTATACATAGAGCGCAGTTACATCAAACGGCTCTACTACACAGTTCTCTCGAAGCCTACATGACCGCCCACGATCAAGGAATTCCTTGGTGTTAGGCAGATGTGAGGATACGTATCGGAGTAGTTGACCGACAATTTTGTTGAGGAACCAGGAAATACTGTCCGCTGGTCCTCCTACACATCTGAGTGAAGGTCTAATTTTGCAACCCCTAGCATCGGCTACGTTTTCACCTCCTTTGGACAACTTAATCAGGCTATGGTAAGCCGAGCACCAGGGTATATCCAACTTCAATCTTTTTATCAACATTCTATCTAATTTCGCTATCTTTCCGAGTGGTACCCGCAAAGCGTTCAGCTTGTGATATTGTGCGAGGAACGCCTTTTCTGACTGGATTGAGTAAAGTCCACGTTATGGTTCTGGTCAAGAAATGAATCAATTATAATATTTTCAAGTATAGCGAGCAGTACTCCTCCGAGTGAAGCAAGGGCGCGCTATGAGTCAGCAGCTAGCACCGGTCTTAGCTATCAGTTTTATGAACAGGATAGAAAGGTCAGCTATAGCATGCCCATTATGTACTGTCGGTGCATTGATGCCAGTAATTACACGGTGTCTCAAAATTATTGGCGCCAAAATTCAGAAATTTCTAAGGTAGAAATAATTTATCAAATCTACATTACCTGTTATTGATTAGTTGCATAAGAAGGTTTCCTTGCAATATGCGGGTTACTGATGTGGAACCCCAATATCTTCCAGATGGAGGAGGCTCTTTCAATGCCACAATAATTGACACGCGGAAGGTGGAAGGGCATTATGAAATTCCTAGGAATTTTTATAACAACCGTATAGGAGGCCATTAAACGGCACAAAAAAGAAGATCTAATCAGAGACAAACCAGGAAAGGTTGGAAGCTAGATTGTTTCTGGAGATAGGACTATTAATATTGTCCGTCTGCCGATCGGTCGGGATCTTGGGTGACCCGTTGAGAGGAAGTCAACGGGCACGGCTTACAGGAGTTATCGCGATGGAAGAATGCCAAGCAGAAGCTTCACTTCCTATCGTATGCAGAAACTTCGCTTCAATTCCGATCACAACAGACACTGTAGGGCCAAAAAAATGCAGAAAGTCGCAGACCCACTTGAGAGATGACGCGCAACCCTTTGTCGTTTTCTCTGGCCAAAAAATTTTTCACGATAAAACCATCCCTAAACAACCAAAACGTTCGCGTTCCGGAAAGAAACATCTAGCGTGTAATATATCACACAAAGGTTGCTATAAGAACAGCGAAACGTTGTTTTTCGAGGAAATCACTGGCAAGGGTAAGCCGCTCGTGGCTTCCTCTCTGCAGGCGTGAAAATTGACCAAGACCGGTACTCAAACAGTGTACTGATGGAAATAATGAAGCACTGTTCCCACTAGGTTTTCTGAAACAGCAGGACGCTACTCCAGAGCCAAGCTTGTCCGCGAATGGTGCCGACGACAGCTGCCTGACTTCAGTGGTGAAAAGGAATGGTTATCCTATCTTCCGAAACTTGACTCACTGACTCCCACGAATAGTCCCTGATTAGAAGAGGACCTGTCGAGTTCGCAACCTCAGTTCAGACTCCTAGATTGCAAAGGCTGAAAAACGGCTGGGAAGAAATGGAGAAGGATACCTGCGTGCCACATGCGATCAACTCGAGAGCAACTTTGACTTCTATCCGCGCTCATAGGGGATATTTTGAAATGCGACTGTGGCATGTTGTAGCACATAGTGTTAGCTGGTGTGCATAGAAATTCCATCATCTTCCGCAGCTGAGAAGTTTCAAATATATCGCATTAACTCGGCGCCAATAATTTCGCTGCGTTTATGTACAGGGTGGGACACCCTTTACTTAAACGCAGCAAGAGATGGATGTATTGTTTGACACCCTCAACAGGCAGTCGTAGTATATCAGAAACCGAAAGAATGCGTGCATCTTCGGGGCTAGCAAGATCTTGTAGGCGTTGCACATCCGCTAGAGAAATCCCACCGAAATGAGTGCATTGCCATAACAGGTGTATTCTGCCATTTCTTCCTTTTTGTGGGCTCCGAGACACCGCGTAACCCTCATCCAACCAACGTCAATGGTGTCTCATTGGTCCATTGAAGTTTACAAAGTCGAGTGGGACGGCACTGTTGGTGGAATCACAGAAGGTTCGTTTCCCGGTTGGGATCTTTCGGTGTTCAAGTTTCTGGGAGCTGTTGTATTTGGGCTAGCGTGTCTGTGCGCTTGGTAGGGTAAGCAACTGATCAGCAGCTCCAAACTGCTTTCAGTTCCTGAAGATGGCGATTTCTTCGAAACTTCCACCAAATGAAGCGGTTTCTACCATAACAAACCTCTGCACAGCGAAACAGTGTAAAACATTATGCAACATGGCCAGGTTCCAAAAAGACCGAACGTGGAAGCAAGCGTTGTGTTCTTGGAGCTTATGCTCCTTGGTAAAATAATATTTGCTGCGTGAGTGCATGAGAAAATCCATATTCAACCCTTACTAAGCACACATCAATCTATGGTCTCTACTGCCGGATTGAAATGAAAAGTAATCGTTGATTTGTTACAGAGAATCTCTGGCTACTGCGCAAGCGTTCAGTGCTTTCAACTTGGACGAATTGGATGTGGTGACTGCTCGCGGCGACGAACCATCCGATGTCACTACTGCAAGGGAACCAGGTTCTCCCAAGAAACCTGGGTCGTTTGATGTTACAAAAGCTGAGGAATCAGTAGTGGTTACTGCTAGAGAAGCACGATCCCCAGTCCGAACTGAAAACTCACAGACATCTGATGCTGAGGATCTTACGGCAAGAGAAGCGCTGTCCCCGACACCTGGAAGAGCGCCGCAGGCCGAACACAACCATAAGAGCAGATACAGCACTGATTTCAATATGGCTTTAGTGAGTCTATGTTTTATGAAAAATTTTCAAAAGCTCCTCTCGATTTTGGAACACCGTGCTGTTCTTTAATGGAGTTTTCGTAGTAAAAGTAGCTTCACTCCTGATCATTCCCGTATTATGGTAGGAGGGCGTTCTTTCAAAAATGATCGGGAACTATAAAAGTGTTCCACCGCTTAATTGATCTAGACCTCCCTATAAGCCACATAAATGTGGATGTGTATGTGTGGAGTATGCGCTGAGTGCTGCTAGCAATGTGATGCTTGTATATTACAAAACCAGTCGGGCAGCCCGGCTAACGCCAGGCTTCCCTCCTTCCTATCGCCTATGCTTGAATAACACTTCGAACTCTCCTTTTGCTCCTCAGTATTAGCTCCGAATTGGGTATCACAATAACGCCTACCAACGCCTGTCGTTATCAATTGAANAATTGAACATTTTCCCGACGGTTTTCCATTAATTGGGAATCCCAAATCAGTAGCGGTCAGATGAGTTTAGTCACAAATGATATTTCACAAAACGAAAAGGAATCGTGGTACTTTATAGTGTCACAAAGCTTACTGCGTAACGGTCTTAGTTTCGTAGCAAGTAATGAATAATCATCTCATTTCGTTATGAAGAAATGTCTTTGATCGGTCGCCATTACAGGATTTACCCGTCTTATTGAATGAAACTTTTTAATGAGTCAGTGTTTCATCATTAAAACTCTTTTGCTTTGCGACCTCAAATTTCTATCGCACTCGCCCCGTCCCCCGTCCTGCCACCTGCCATAAGTGTTCCCATGCTGTCCCCTGTACTCCTGCCAAATTTGAACGCTCTAGGTCCAAGGAGACATGAGTTATGATTTCCCGCTCCAACATTTATTCCGCACAAACCCCGCCCCCCGTGGGTGGAGTCCGGTCCTTCCACCTGCCATAAGTGTTTCCATGCTGCCCCTGTACTTCCACCAAATTTGTACGCTCTAGGTCCACGGGGACAGGAGTTATGAATTTCCGGTCAGACACACACNCCGACACACACAAACACACACACAAACACACCGACACACCAACAGACACACTTAGCGAATTAAATATAGTAAGATTAGTTGCGCACCAATAAGCATCAACATAATCAAGGAAAATGGCTTTGCAAAGAAAGGCTCTCGGAATGAAGTCCGCAAGATGGGGGAAAAAGCGGCACTATTTCAGCCTGATATGCTGGAGTAGGGAATATCTTAAGCTCTGTAGCTCGGTATGCTTGAACACGGAATTCCACTAGATAAGCCTATGAAGGGAAATGCGCCGAACAACTAACCCACAAACTAACAAAGTATTCTTTCTCCCTTGCTCATACCCGTTTTCGCATTTCTACTTTGGGACATCCGAGCGTACGTAGGCGGGCACTTGTACTCCCCCGTAACTTTATTCTCCTTGATACCAGCTTCGATGTGAGGTAAGTACAGAAATTAAGAACGTCGTATCGTAGACTGAGGAGCGTTGTCAATGACGATCCTCCGACGCGTGATTTCAACTTAACGTCCTGTGAAGTTACGGTAAGAGCACGAACACGCTGAGCTATAGGTTTTCTCATGTTTGCAATTTTTTGTCTTTGTTACTAAGGCTTTCGATCAATTTCATAACTCCTTCGTTGTTGAGCAGCTGAGCGCCTGTACCTCCTATTCTCAGTTCCATGCTCTTTCTCGACATGTCTGATTAAGTGTCTCTCGGAAGATCAACAATTAGTCATTACCGTTGAGGGTTGTAAGGGAGATAAGTTGTCCTGACTAGTAATTTTACTGCTAGATTCAACAAGTACAATACTCACTTCTGTGCACAACATACACTTGAACCTTGTGATGTAGCAGTCGGTTGACCAAATCCTGAATCATCTTCGACCCTCTTACTTCCCGCTGTGAAGTTAGAACGAGATGTGAACGGGACAGCTTGTAACGGACTTCGAATCCAAATATTTAACAAAAGTTTCG